TATACTTAAATACAATCTCTTGTTCTAACATCCACGTACAAAACAGTACTTATGTTTCCATGAATGTCACTAGTAATTCTCACTTGTTACTTAAAAGGTTTTAACATTTTTTAAACTCTCCGAATATTAATATATAAGAAAGTTGCAGGCATGATTCGAGAACGAAAAAATCGTACTTCCTAAATTAATACATATTCATATTGTAAATTTCAATTAGATTTTTCTCGTAATGATGGAAATCACACGATAGTCCCATTGGTGTGTTAGAAGGTGAAGTCCATCAAAAAGCACCTCTTAACAAGGTTTAAACCCAGGGACGATCGCACTTCCAACATACAAAAGTTCAATATTAAATGGTGGTACTAAACAAATAATTTTTTTATTTTTCTCATTCTACACTCTGCAATACAATATGCCTGTATAGGATAGAAATATTACACAATAAAGCGTTTCGTTTGATTAAAGGAACTGTTTTTGAGAAAACATACACAAACATTTTTGCTATAATTAGAAAGCTGTTATATTTAGACAAGCTGCGTGATTAGCATATTGATTTACTTGTTCAATGACGTTTAGCATTTTTGATTTCTCGCCTAACTAGCGCGTTTATCCCTAAAGGTAAAACAAAAGTTTTCTATTTCGAGCAGCTTAACGCCATAATACTAAGGGTCCTTAAAACGTAACGGGTTGCACCACAGTCACTAAACTATCGAACACAATTTTTCATTTCAAAAATAATTCAAAAATATTGTTTTTGGAATGACTAATAAATTTAAAGAACATTATAAGTTACTAACGACTGGCCGGTCACGGGCATTAGTGCCGTATATTTTATTCGCCTTATATACTGAGCACTTTGAGAGAGTTCTATTCACTTTTGCTGTAATACCCATACTCGTATTGTAATAGCATTGTTACTGTATGCCGCACTATACTTAAGTATAAAAACCATTTTTCTAGGAACTTAAATGAAGTATGTGTTCTTAGACATCTGCAATTCAACATACACAATTTTGTTAGTTTTAATAATTAATTTATTTTATTTTAGATGACAAACATTATAAATGTTTTCCTTTTACTTAAATGTCCCTAATTATACCTTTTTTAATAAAATTTATGTTGCATAGTGTTGGGCATTGAAGGTTAGCAAGAAATGTTTTTCATACCGAGGAATCTAGCTTGAAATTTAAAAATAAATCGTTTGAACCAATTTGAGAAAATACCCAAAAAGTGGTTAAAAACAAAATCTTTTAGCTATAACTTGAAATCTATTGTATGAACCTTTTCAACGACATATAGCAAGTATCTGTAGCATAAGTTGTTTAGAAACTATAAGCCTTTAAAATCTAGTTTTTTTTTGGATTTCCCGCGAAACTAGCGGGTTTTTCCGAAAGTCGTAGAACAAAAGTTTTCTATCTCGAGCTTCTTAATACTCCCATAAAAACCCCAAGACCCCTAAACCAAAAAGGCATTCATACAAACCTACAAACAAGGGGACAAACATTTCCATATTGAAAAGTCCCCCAAAATCTTGTTTTCGGAATAATCGGATTTTAACATATGAGGTGTCATTCGACGCGCATTATTAGTAAGAATAGAACTAGGCTGATATCCGGGAGCATTTATCCCCACCGCCCCCAACAGACCAATTTTCTACGTTTTGACTTTTGCACTTTCCCCACACTTTCTCTTAAGCCAATTAAGAATTTTAAAGTCTTTATATGCAACCTTTTCAGTTTCTACATTACCTTTCGATCCCTGCTTCATTCGTTACTATCAGACCATTGCATCAGATTTTCAATTCTGAGGCTATATATAGTAGTCGCCTTTGCAAACTCTCCTGGTGCGACTGTGTGTCCGTGCGTGCGAACACAGAGATTTCGGAAATTGAGAAGGCTGAAAACTCGGGACTAGGCATGCAGATTCTAGAGATTCTTACGTAGTGCGAGTTTGTTTCACGCCTACTCCCACGCCCACAATAGCCCATAACGCTGAAACCTGTCTAGCGACAACATTTTTATTTGATTATCAATAGCCGCCTATATTCCAAAAATGGTTAAAATCGGACCATCCATTAAAATTTTATAAGCAAATAAGGTAATCGACTATAGCGTTTTAGTCTCTTTTTTAATATTTGGGTACTTCATTATAGGTTTTATCTGCTTTATCGTCATTTAAATCCAAATTGTGCTTACTCTAAGACCTTTTTAATATGAAAGTAAGCATGAAATCGTTCTTAAATTAATATTTGTGCTTGATTGTAGCATGGTGTTTTTCTGAGTGTATCATGTAGCTCCAATATGAATGATTGGAAAAATAATAGAATAAATTCTAGCTTCCTTTTTAATCACATTTTATTAAAAATCATATGGAAATTTGCTAGGTTAAAGGTAAGACACCGAAAGTACTACCTCTATCTCTCACCCACAAATACTCTCACTGTCGCACACTCAAGATCCTGCAATAGTCGTCGTAATCATATACATAAAGAGTTTTCTGCTAAAGGAAGATACCACGACGAAGTACATATTTAAGCAGTAGTCTACGTCGAATTCGCGTCTGCGTTTACACTTTTAAATAGAAATGAATAAAGCACGCATGTCAGAGGGAAAGGGGATGGAAAAGAGAAAACCCCTTTCTGCAACTCAGTCTCTTTCAGTTTCTGCCCCATGCGTTACTCTCGCTTTTACACGCCCGCTAATGCACGGCAGGGTATTAGGGTTTGCATATATATTCTTATATATGAAAATGTATGCAGATATTGTCTATACCAACTTTTTTGCTTTCATGTTTTGAGGGCGGGTAAAAGGAGCTCTGCACCCCACACTCTAACCTGCTCAGAATTTGGCGACTACAAGGCGATGGCATTCTTGTTCTAAACTAAAAAGACCGTAAGTTCTTTGAGTTCTCTTTCTTTTATTTTTCTAGGAAGATTGCAAATTTTCTTTTACTCTTAATTCATATATATGTAAAAACAGATATAAGAACATTTCTTAGATTCTGTAACTAATTTTAAAACCACACATTTTTTAATTATCAATATATGTTTAAGGGCAGATTAAGTTGGAAATCAATCTGAAGGTCCTTAGTACATTTTGGACAAAAAATTAGCAACCTTCTGTTTTTCCAAGAACATCTTAATCTAAAATGAAATTGTTATTCTCGATAAAAGTGTGCTTAGATTCAAGTACCTATAACGTCTAGATAGGCCGATGTCCTTGTCCGACAGTTCTTATTTCGATAAATTACATTTTTCTAAATGTAATTTGCCTCACACCAATGATTTGCGGTATTTCTACCCATTGCTCGTTGAGTAAAAGGGTATATATATTGTGTTCGGTGGAAAGTATGTATGTATGTATTTTGATCAGCAGCAAGCCGATGTGCCACGCCCAACCAACTCGAGACACCATGTGTAAAGATGTTAATTTTCAATTCAAAATAGAACAAATCATAAAAATAAACCATTTAAGTATTCGCCCCTAAGTGGTGCCAATTTACCAAATGGGAAACAGTTTATAGGGCCCCTATTTTTGTACCAGTTACTCTCAGAGTAAAATGGAATATTGTATTCTCCGGAAAGTATGTAACAGGCAGAAGGATGCGTTTCTGAGCCTATAAAATATACAAATGCTCTTGGTCAGGATCACTATCCTAGTAGTGCTAGGCCTTCGGGTCCGTCTGAGATCTCAGCAACTATTAAAACTAAAAATGTGGGTCTTATAACGCAAAAACGAAAGATTCTTGCGCATCGCAGGTTTATTTCAACAGGGTGCTACGCCTACACATTGAAAATTCTGACGTTTCCATCTGAGTTGAAAATGTTCTTAAAAATATATCATTTTTGAAGTTGAACATTTGTTTCAAATTGCGAATTCACAAATACCACACGTTAGAAATAAAAACCATGTATGCAGATATGCTTAAACACGTCTACATCAACATAATTTAATGCCCATTAGCCAGCACCTTTTAAAAAAGTCAATTTTGTTGTTCAGGGTATTCGGTCAGTTAAAACTTAAATCACACGTTCCAGCGGGCATAAAGAACCAATGTCGTGATATTTAGTCGATCTTACCTGGCTAAGAGAAAGTATTTCCGAAAGACATGAATCTGCTTAACGACTTCAGGTTTTGGTTGGTAACTCCTTGACTGCCAAGCACACACAAATTTGACAAACAGTAACTCAATATTGAGGAATTACACAAGTCATTAACAAACAGTTGCGTGGGGCCGGGGCCATGGCATACGAAGTTTATTGGGATGAGCGACCACTCCCCGAAATTATGGTTAATTGATTTGGAAGGAGCCAACGGAAATGTGAGAAGCTGGTCAGCTATAAATAGTTGAGTCCACTGCATTTCTGAATGTATATATATTTACTATTGGGATTTAGATAGAAACCTAACGTTTCGTGTTATCACATATTGATGTACAATTACCGTGTGTACACTCAGGGAAAAACGCCGTGCTAAAAAGAAGCACAAACAGCCTTGACTTAAGAACGATTTAATGCTGAACTTTTTGAGAACGTTCGTACTGAAAAATTCTTAAATTGAGTACAATTTGGATTCAAATACGATCAAGCAGAAAAAATTCTTAAATGAAGTACAGAAGTATTCAAATTAAGACTTATAATATTTAGTTCAAGACCGAATAGAACTTAATAATAGCACAAACATTGCTTGGCACGTTTATTTGAAAAAAAAAATCAAGTTCTGGTTAAAAAATTTGGGACAGGTAATAACTGGAAACATCCTTATATACTTGCAATTAATTTAATAAGGTAAAAAAATATTAATTTTTCTCAAAGGGTGTAAAAATCTTCTTCTTCGATAAAGGGTACGATTAGACTATAAAATTATTTGATTTAAAAAAAGTTACATACATTTATGGCTAGCATTTTAAAATGCCAATTTAAAAAGATTTTTTTTCATTTTAATGAATGTTAAATTTTAATCGGCTGACCGTAGCTTTTGGATTTCTTGACGTTCTCGCCGTTCTTTCTAAAATCGTGAAACGGTCACACTTGTCTTATAAGCGTCTCAATTGACCCAAGCGTTTTCGCGGCACTGTGAATAAAATTGAAGTGAACATACAACATACATAAGTGAAACCAAAAATGATCAAAATGGCTGAAGAAGAATGTGGAGAGGATCCTCTATAGAAACTTTTAAAAAAAATGGAAATTGAGGAAGTGCTTACATTTCTAACAGGTAAGAAAAGCACGCGTTTTTTGGTGCAATTGTAATATTAATACATATACATATAGCGGTAAAACATTGTGTGTGTGTATATACACATGTGTGTGCGTGTGTACTTTTTGCGATTCAGAAACGCATTCCTGCCCCATTTGCCTTATAAATTAGAAAATATGTCTTAACTTTAAATATATACATATATCAAATGTACATAAATACGTTTGTAATAAGCGGTAATAACATTTCCAGAATCTCAGAAATTCTGTAATGGGTTCTTTCACAAATAACTGTAAGCACGTGTTTCACGCGTAAAAAGAGCATACGTACAAACAAGTGTACATATATGTATATAATTTTGCCGATATTCGGCGACATTCTGTTTACAAAAAAATATGAATACAAACACACCCGGACCTTTTTCAAGAAATAATGTAATTCCACGAAATTTGATAACTGTGCTGTTTCTATTCCTATTTTTTATGTAAACGGAATGTCGCCGAATATCGGCAAAATTATATATATGTACACTTGTTTGTACGTATGCTCTTTTTACGCGTGAAACACGTGCTTACAGTTATTTGTGAAAGAACTCAGAACAGAATTTCTAAGATTCTAGAAATGTTATTACCGCTTATTACAAACGTATTTATGTACATTGTACACATTTAAAGTTAAGACATATTTTATAATTTATAAAACAAAAAGGACAGGTATTGAATGTGCGTTTCTGACTCGTAAAAAGTACACACGTACACACATATATACATACACACAATGTTTTACCGCCATTCCGTCTCTTTTAGCTTAGTTGAGACGCCAGCTAATAATATGTATGTTCATAAATTTTAACTCTCTTGTCAATATCACAAATTAAACCTATATTTTTACTTACATATTTACATAAATTTAAATATTTATTCGCATCAACTTAGCTGCAAAAGTAAACATCGAGCAGCTAAAATACATGAACGCCGATGACATTAAGGAGGCAGTGCCTCCATTAGGTCTGCGCATAGGGTTTAGACAAAAACTCTTCAGATGGAAGGAGTCTGAGGTACGTTATTAGCCAAAAAGTACATGAATAGGGTTTAAAGTATTTTTAATTTGCAGGGTGGAGATGAAGACCGAATTGCGCCACTACCCTCTTTTGTCAAGCCAGACGTCAAGGCTCCCCTAAAGTTCATTTTGAATAAAAGTGGCATGAAGATTTTGGAACACGAAGAGACTCATCTTTATCTTCCCCAAGTGCTTCGGGACGAACATATTTCTATTATAATAGAAGAGGCCATGCTCGAACACATTACGAATAGCGTTCCAGATTTCCAAGCCTTGCTAGAGGAAATATGTTTTGTTCTCCCAAGCCAGATAAACGTTAAGGTAAAAACATAATGCTATAAATAATTTGATTTGCTTTTCTAATTTATGTTTGTATAGGATTACTATTTTATACCTCGAATGGGTAGAGGCAATCCTGCAGGAAAACTATATTCAAAATATATGAACCGCCGCAGCCGCATATTAAAAAAGAAGAAAAGGTCTGTAGAACTTGTGATCTCCGAAGAAGATGATGCAGACATCTGCAAGGCATACAAGCTCACGGTTAGCCGTACATGTGACGATTGAGAGAGTGTACGTGATATGTGGAAAAAGACATACAAAATACGACAGGAAGACGTCACGGCTCTGAACAACTCTGATTTTTTGAAAGCTTGGAATAAATTTTCCCGTGCAAAGGCGTACGAGCTGGTAAGAAAAAATATATATTTATTTTTATACCCTTGCAGAGGGTATAATAGTGGTTTCCGACCCCATAAAGTATACATATTCTTGATCAGCATCACTAGACGAGTCGATCTAGCCATGTCCGCCTGTCCGTCCGTTTCTAGCAACAATCCTTAAAAATGTAACATGGTGTTACTAACATTGATTATTTCTTATAACTGCAAAAGTATACAAACTTCGGCTTGCCGAAGTTAACTTTTTTTCTTGTGTTTAACATTTTATAAATATTTTTGTTTTTCAAGATTGATATTGATTTCGACCGTATGTATCCTGCAAAAGGTTTTCATTTGCTTTCAAAGTGGCAAGAATTTCGGCAAAAAAAATGTGTTACTACGAAGACAACATCATTAATGAACATTGCAAAGCCCAACTCTTGCTTGTTAAAAACTGCACCAACATAGGTAGGCTTAACATTTCTTGTTATTTAATCTAAGCATAGAAAAGTTTGTATTTATTTTGTGATTCACTGTTTTTATACTAATATTAATCATATTTATACCCGCTTTTTTGACAAAGCGAATACTATACCTTTTATTTGTATTGTAAATATATAATATTAAACTATTCTAATATAACAGATGCCCAGGACTTCATAATCGCCACATTGCTGAATGCTGTTTTGCCCTCATCAGCCCGCTTCAAGAATGAAGATGGAAAATTTACAAGGAAAGCTACAATACTGGACGCGCAGGAGAGTTTCGTGCTGAGACTAGTAACTATTAATGACTTAGATATTCAATTGGACCGAATCATAAACATGTATTACAGTTCGGGTCTTAAATTACATCCTATTATTATTGTAGTTGGTCCTTTCGATTGTGAGATCAACGAATTATTTTTATATTTTGATGGAAATTTAATAAGTGGCCCAAATGTACATATATAAAAGATTATAAGTTGTTTTAGTTATAAGGAAAATATTTTTGTACTATGTAATGAAGTAGGTTTAATTCGATTTGACAAACATTTTTATTCTTATGAAATCGGTTATCCATCCGATACATTTTGCATTTTAAACATTAATGAAATAACTACTCTTCCTTTGCACTTATATACAATAAACAATAGAAAATCGTATCTTAAATTTAAATATATATAGAAACTATAAACCTGTGAAATAAAATTTAAGCCAAAACAATAGCTTCTTAAGCGTATATAGAAAATGTAAAATAAAAATGAAAAATAAAATGAATATCAAAACAATAGCTTCCTAAGCGTATGTAACAACTGTAAAATAAACATGTACAATAAAATGTAAGACAAAACAATAACTTCCTAAGCGTATAAAAGTTTCTGAAATTGAGTTTTACCATACCTTCTTTTAAGAATGGGGGATCCGGTTTTAAGATCTAACAGTTCTTAGATCTGGCATGATGTGATCTTAATATAATAATTATTCCTGCTTAACTTAAAATGTATATTGTCTTAATTTAAAAATGAAATATTCTTGAACTTAGTATTTTTACTCTAGCTTCAAGAGTATAATTTACTGGGTTTAGTAATGGTTTGTTCTTAAATCAAGCCTAAAATTTTCTTAATTTATTAATAAATCGCACTTATTTCAAGTATATATATGTCTACCTTAAGAATACTTTATTATTGTTTTGAGAAAGCTCCATACTTGATTTTAATCCTCAGCGTTCTTAAGTCGTACTGAAACCAAGAATTTGCGGACTTGAAAATTCGTGCTTGAAATAAGTATTTTGTTCTTTGGTTCTGTATTTTCCATGCTTGGCGAAGTTTTGACACCGAAAATACTAGGTTCAAGCACGAAATACTTGATTTTTTTTCTGAGTGTATACAAGTCCACATACACATAAACATACATTCTCAGATATGCAGTATGCAAACGTCTTTGTGTTGAATACGTTAAGTAAATACAGGTGATCAAACAAACTCTCAACGAGGTTTCCGTCTTTGACTCGGAAAAAAACTAATGTTTTAACATTTATTGGCTAAGGAAATCCCGGATTATTGGATCGGACGTCTAACAGAATATAAAACAAGAAAAACCGCTATTGTCGACGGCGTCGACTATTAGATACCCGTTACTCAGCTAACAAAGAAGCGTCATTCCTATCGACTGCTTACGAGATTTCACTAACACGCCACATAACGAAAAACCTAGGTGGCGCTATTAAAATTTCGTAAGCAACCGATTTGCTGTATGAATATATGTCCATCCCCTTCACACTCAATTGCATTTTGTGATTATTTAGTATGGCTTGGATATATCTTCCAAGTGAATGGTTCGATTTGAATTTTTTCAAAATATTAAAAAATGTGGGCGTTATACGGGTTTTAGCGTTATGGGCGTTAAAGTAAGAGTGGCAACCTGACCAGTTAGCGTGGCAAGAAGACCAAGAATCTGTATGCTGAGTCCCAACATTCTAACTCTTATAGTTTCCGAGATCTCAGCGTTCATGCGGACAGACGGACATGGCAAGATCGACTCGACTAGTAATCCTGATCAAGAATATATACATATGTTACATAATTCCCGACGAATCTAGTATACCCTTTGACTTTGAGGTTTAGAATTGATATTGTACATGTGAGCCTTGTAATCACCCCTTGCGCAACTAATTCAAACAATTTTTGACCGTGGCCTTAAAATAAAGAGAAACAAGTAGGAACGCTGCAGTCGAATGCCTTGATGCCTTCTACTCGTTACTACCTTTCCGACAAATAGACTAAGCCCTCGCTGGCCGATATACTCGCTTTAGCAAAGCTCGGTTTAAACTCCTCCGGTAAGGAGTCACTAACACATTTGATTTAACGTGACAAGGTTAGTATCTAAGCTAACATTTCTTTAAAAATATCGTTCCGGTGTACGAGTATGTGAACATACTCGTACATATTGTACAAAAGCGGCCATACATAGGTGTTCAGACTAGCGGTTTGTCTATCCTTACTCCATTCTTGGCTATACTTTTATGACGAATTTATAAGGTTCTCATTAACGGTCATTTGCTTCAGTTGGTGCTTGTGTTTTGAAGACGATATTCGGTTGTCGCTATCAAAGTACGCACCTAGTAGCAGATGGGTATATATGGGTATATGGATTTCGAACGAATAAAGTAAAATATTGAATAAATAAATAAATGTTAAGTATTTACAATCAGCACTTAAACACAACATATAAGGCTAGACACGAAGCTAATATATTTATAACATAATAGATATATATATGACGTTCCTAGCTTATTTTAGGGTTTAAGTAGCAGGTATCTTCACTGTCGAAGAACACGTCTACAGAGATCTTTCTTGTTTTTGGTTCGAACCTTCATCTTTTTTGTCTTGTTGTTGCTTGCCCTGCATGTGGGCCGACTCTTTTACGTTTAGTTGACAATTTATTGATGTGATACGACGTTTGTTCTGTATTTTCATTGAGAAGAGACCTACTCCAACTGGACTACCTGACCCTCTTGGCCTCACATTTAACGCGTTTGGGTTTGATTTCGGCTCAGTTTCGGATTACGCTTCGGCTATGATCCCGCCTCAGGTCGCTAAACTTTACTGTTTGAACCACACTTTAAAAATCATAATATTCGAGTCAAAAGATACACTTTCTTACCCGCATTCACGAAATATATCTTTTGTTCAAACACATGAATGAAAAGGTAAGACGCGTAGGCCGATGCTATCAACGTAATGGCACTAGGAGTCGTATATAGAGTACACATGCGCGATCCACGGGGGGATTGGGACATGTTGTATTCTAAAAATATGGAACAACAAATTTGTCCATAACCCGTCACCTGTTGATGGCTATGTAATAGACGGATGTTAAGGGGAGGGTATCCGAAACCGACCCCTTGAGGAACACAAGCCGTGAAGGTTAAGTGCTAGCAAACATCTATACTTAGACTGTTAAAGTATATTGCACTACGTATATACACCTTCTATTTGCAGTATTAAACTATTCTAACAATTTCCAAATGCTAAATGCTTACCAAAATGTTATCAGCAAGGTATTTTATTATAACAGAGCACAAGGCAATGGTTTTTATAGCCTTAAAAACATATTTTATGTTTGTTTAGAAGTTTTTAACGCTATTAACGATACATACCCGACTCTCTATATATATTTAAGTGGAACAACCGCAATTCGTAATATGTAGAGTATTGACTACTGTTAGTTAAAAGGAGTGCGATCGTCTCCCGCCGAAATTACTCACATTATTTGCTTATCGCTTTTTAACCTATAGTCCTATGTGAACAATTGTATTGGCATGTGGATAGGTATTGATATTCAGAGCACAGTCCCATATACACTTTAATAAAATATTAAAAAATGTGGACAACGGATGGTTTTAGAGTTATGGGCTTTTGTGGGCGTTAGAATGGGCGTGGCATCTTGCTGAAATAAACTTGCGCTGTGCAAGAACCCTAAGAATCTGAACGCCAGATCCCAACATTTTAGCTTTTATAGTTTGCCAGATCTCAGCGTTCATACGGACGTACAGGCAGGCGGAAAGACAAACGAGTCTAGTTCGACTCGGGCAGTCGTTCCGATCAAGAATATATCACTGTGGACGGCAGTACAGAGTTATGCAATTTAAAATAATTTAAGGCCATTTTCAAATTGAAACCTGAAAGTATGTTTGTCGGTATGCCGTATTTTTGGTGTTACGGTTCTACATTTTTTGTGGTATTTTTCTATTGGGCTGAAAAACATTTGTTCTACAACTATTTTAAAAACCAGCTAGTTTTGCGGGAAAAAACTAGAAATGGCTAAAATTCAAAGTGTCACAGCCTTTTACAATAAAATATGATTTAAATATAACTTGAAATTCTTATATATTTAAAAAATTCATAATTATTATTTTTTCCATTATTTCAATGAGAGCTATAGGATATAGTTGCCCGATAAGATTATTTACTACCTGTAATAGAAACAAGACTTTTGGGAAGATTTCATCCCGATAGATTTAAACTGAGAGACTAGCTTGCGTAGAAACGGACAGACGGACACGGCTAGATCGACTAGTGATGTTGAATATATATACTTTATGGGGTCGGAAACGTCTCCTTCACTGCGTTGCAACATTCCGACTGAAATCATTATACCCTCTTCAAGGTTATAACAATACCAATGGATCTTGTTTTAAGGCATTTTTTCCTAATTTGGGAACATTCGATCTTGACTCATTTCTGTCTACAAAGATTTTCAATTTATAAACATCTTTCTCATTTTTAGACTCTTTTAATAAATAGGTTTGTCAGTGTAAATTACAGTGTTTTCTTGATCTTTACGACTCGTCACCTACTTGGTCTGGTATCTGTTTTGATTTACATTTGTATACCTACCCTTCAATGAAAATTGTATATCGGATGCTCCAAAACAGCAAAAGCTACCAGCACGATCAAGAATTTAAAAAATGCAAAATGAATTTGAATTCATTCATATGGAGTCGAACTGAGCTAGCTGTGCCTTTCCATTCATCTAAAGCCAGTTAAGGTGTGTGCGGTATAGGGGATACGGAATGGTTATCAGTCCAAAAGAATGTTAGTAATAAATAAGCATAGGCCTTTGTTGTTTTCACCTCTAGAGGGATAAAATGTAAATTTTCGGTAACAGTTTTTGAATATCTAACTCTGCCCGTCCAAAGAAGCATAAATGTTGCATATTCATAAATTTTTTCACATATATG